TTTAATTAAATCGTTTGGAATATAGAGAAATTATTATTGAATAACATTTTTCACTTATATAAGATACAGGAAATAATATAAGTGGCCATTATATTTGTTATGACTACAATCATCATTTTGGTGGCTAGGTACAAAACTAATAACTCGCATTTCCATAGTTTAGCATTAAGATTCATAGGAGTGGTGAATAGTTTCTAGCAATATAAACGAATGACCAATTTTCTCTGTTTAGAAGGTAGTTTTGATTATTTTCCTCCTAGAATGCTTTCTGTTTGAGCCGAATCGGGCTAATGTAGTGTTTGACTCAGATCGGCCGAACTAATTTAACTTCTGATACGGGTAGGGCCGGGTAAAATGATACAGGCCTACACATATACCTATATTATACACCTTACTTTAAAAAAATATATGAATTTTTAAAAATTAAACTTGACCAAACGGTACATTATGTACTGTACATATTTAGAAAAAACGGCCCAAATTGTATACGGCCCATGTGGAATTTTCCACATGGCCAGTATACAATTTGGCCCTGCTCTCTAATTAACATCTGAAATGAAGAAGTAATTGAATCGGGTCCCGCCGCCATCTTAAATTACGCGCGACTGTAATTGATCGATTCGAATGAGCGCGTCGCGTTGCATCAAATTAAATAATTTATAAAAATTAAAATAATAAATATGTTTACAAACTAATTGACTATATCTGTTTGCAATAGTACTCTAAAACACATCGTACTTATAGTTTAGCATTTCTGATAACACTTAATTAATTTTTAAATATTCTTATATTTTATATATAAAATGCGAATAAAAAAACATAAATGCGTAAAAGTTAATAAAAAAAATATCTGCAACTTCAGAAAACACATATATATGAGAATCTATCAGAAAAAAGTTAGTTATTAATAATTAAAATCGAGAAAAAAAATAAAACTTTCAAGGTATAGTAATTTATGTGGTAAAAAGTGAGGTAAGCGATCACGTGACGCCCGTCTTCCCATCGTCTGTAACCAAAACGGACGAGGGTGAAATAAAAGCGAAAACATCAGTAGAAGTAAAAACAAACATCGGCGCGTATCTAGGACTAAATATTTGAACAGGAGCGAAGATAAAACACGACACTTTGCAATTTATGCTAATCACCTTCTAATATTAAAAAATTAAAATTATCAAAAAAATTATAACAAAATTAAAATTTTTTGACTAAATTCGACTACAAACATATCGTAAAACTGGATTAAAGTAAAAGTACCCGTTTTTCGACGCTAAATTTTTATTAATTAATTTTTTAAATTGATGCCTAATTGATCGAGCGCGCGTAATTTAAATTTGACGGAGCAAGCGCGTGCCGAAGCTTAATGGTTGCAATTACTATAGAAAATGTTTGATAAGACTTAACATGTTCTTACTATTTTTATATACAAGAAGGACAAATTAAAATGGTTAAACTGTCGTTTTCTTCAATATTGGCGCAAGAACAGTGTGCCTATTTATCACAGCGGCTACATTTATTATTTTCCGAATAAATAAATATAAAAGTTTGAACTTACTCGTTTTCTTTTTCCCAAGATGATGGTAGTCACTTCGCGCATGCCCAGTTTCAAACAGACGATATTTTTTTTGGTGGAAAACATTTTTATTTCGAATTTTATTTCACATTTTATTTCTTGTTAAGATAGTATTTAAATTTAAAAAATGTTTTCACAAATAAAATAAAACGTTAAAACATAAATAATAAAGTAATACAGTATATACTGTATAAATTTATTACAGTTAGATATGATTTAAAAGTGGAATATTTCATTTTCTATAAAAAGATCATTTTTTAAATTATTATTTTATATATTCGAAAAGGTGATATAGAATTATCAATGAGAACGAATTTCAAACTAGTTCACTGCACTATATTGCACTGCCTCTGGCCAGCAGCAGAATTCATGGCCAAGATGGTAGGGGCAAGATGGGGTACTCCGTCTTGCTCCCACCATCTTGCCCCAACGTGCACTTTTTATACTGACTGCAAGCACGGGTCAACTTTATTTCAAAACTAAACAATTTCGGTCTTAAAGGTTACTTCGAATACCATAATAACTTCATCTAAAAGGTAATGTAAAAGTTTAAAATGATGCTTACTTTGTAGAAACTTTGTAGCGGGCGTAAAATTAGATGAAGTATTGCCGAAACATGGAAAACTGCCTTATTTCCAAACAAAAAGAGCGATTCGGACGTTCTCTCGTCCCGTGATCCCTTTTGAGGTTGACATTTAGTTCCCCAAATAACAGCTAGATGAAAGCGCGTTAACCAGGAATAAACAGATGTCCCCGTCTTAGCCCATGGTCCTATCTTGCACCATCTTCCCCTATATTTGTATGGGATGTATACGTAGTGTGTAACGTATCTATGAAATATTATGGAATACATTTCGGGAGTTGAATACTAAAACTACAGTGAAATTTAACTTCATTATTTATTAATAGAGAATAACAGTAGTTGTTTGTTAATTTAGTGCTATTTTAGCTAAAACTGTCATGATTCTTTATTATAACAGTCCAGAGATAATTTTATAGCAATTCTTTTTGTATTGAATACAATTGCTAGAATGTTAAAACTTCTATTTCTATTGATAGAAGGCAAAATTATAGCTTCGATTTTCAAAAGCAAATATTTTATCTGTTACGTCAGAATCGGTACAATTGTTTCATCCAAAAATACCAATGATGATCCAGTCGATACTCTCGTCTAATTTCTGTCAACGAATAGTTTTTCTAAGCTATTTAGATTGTTATTATTAGATATCATACTCTTTTGTGTATCTGTGGATAACATATTATTATTCTTTCAGATGCTTATAAAATCCTGCCTACCATTAATTAATAAGTTATATTTATACAAATGGCAGTTAAAATATATTAATCATATATTTTAACTGCATTTTTGTGATAATTTCATTTTGCAATTTAATTAATTACGTTTCATCATAAATCACAGGCCATATTCTAGTAATTAGGCCCATTGCTTTACTTCAATATAATTCAATAGCACTGTAACATAATGTAATTTCGGGAAACAAAATGAAACAATGAAAATATAAAATAGATGACAGAATCAGAAGCAATTTACGGCATGATTTACGTCATCAATATGATTTAATAATTGTCATGTTAATATAATAGCGACTAATAAAACGCTTCTTAGTTATGTTTTAATATCAATTAATTAATCGCAAAACTATTATATTTATCAGATGCTTTTCAAGAAAAGTGTAAATCTGTAGAAATAAACTTTATTAATGCTTTTATCCTCTTCTTGAGTGAGATAAGCGATTCTAAATGTGAGATTTTACGTTTCGACGTGCTATCAAGCGTGAGGAACTCACTCAATCACAAAGCAATCTTCGTCTTTGATAATTACACACGCTTATCTTTGTTACTCACTATCAATAAATCAGTAGAATAGTAGAACACATTTATCTTTGTTTTTGTTATTTTTTTCCTTAAACATATCAGCGAACCATCTACACTTACAGAAAAAAATTTCATCTGTATTGTCAACCAGATTCATCGCTATAACGAATGAATCTTGATGACGCGCAATTATCTACCTGTATTTTGTCAAGACCAAGACTACATATCGACATCAATATTCATGAAATAATAAAGCTAATTAGCCTATAATATGCAAATATATATCCCCAACTGTGAATTTAGAGAAATAAATCACTGAATTCATAATTGGATATATACATTTGTTGATTCAATTTAAATTCAACATTTTATCAATTCTTCGCTTCAGTCTTTGTAAGTCTGACGTTTAACGTTAGACAGCCTAACACATTGATGATAAATGAATTATCACTCAAAATTTGTTACATAAAGTATCAATTATCTAAGGTTAAGCAATCGATGTAATTGCAAAAATTATTTATAATTGTCTACATATAATTAGAAAAAATAATTAACGTCAATTCTAAATTAAATTATAATTAACGTTAAATTTTAAATTAAATTAAAGCATGAATTCTACGTTAAAATTATATTCGACGACTAGTCACTATTCATTAATTTATTCATGATTGCTTTTAGGTTACGAAATATTGGATTAAATTGGACTGGATTTATAGTAAAATTTGAAAAGCTTCCACTCGATTGAAGTGTGTAATCGTTACCTAATTAGAATACAATAGCTTTATTGCCTATAAAACTAAAAGAGAAAACAGCAATCGATTCAGTGAAGTTAATTTAATCAGGTTTTGTATGGTTAACGGGATCGTCGAGAGCTTGTATGGGGCTCTGAGTTAGAGCAGGCTCTTTTAACTATTTTGTTTGTTTATTTGTTGAACATATAAAATGGGTAGAATGTTTCTTTATTAATAATAAGCGGCCTTAAAGATTTTATTTTATGATAGGAAAAATAACGTTAATTTTATAAGACTAGGAATCACTACACGGCCCTATATTTTCTCTGACTTCTGAGAAAAATCTCCAACAGTTTTCCTCTCTCTTGACGGTTAATATAATCTCATTAGCACATGATATATGTTATTAATTCGTTAATAAATTTTATAACAAAATACAAAAATCTACAGTCAGAAAAACAAATTATAACTTAGATTTTGCTGTAGAATTAATTTTTTTTTATTTCCACTTTTTCTCTTTTGAGAAACGCCATTGTTTTAATTTCTTAGTATAATTAACAGAAATATAAATAAAATAATCTGTTTTCTTATAAATTAACCACTTCCAATATGAAAATTATACTATTTGATATAAAATATGTGGATTATGACATATTATGAATTGATTCCATAATTATGAGTTTTAAATGTAATACTGATAGGCTAGTTATAACTTCATTTTATATACTGTATTTTATTTATGAATACAGTAGAGCGTCGATTTTCCGAATCAATNTCAATCCGTTATAAAGATTATTTTAAAAAGTAACAATAATAAAGTGAGAAATGTGGAAAACAAAAAAAAAAAATCCGTTGTCACTTACCCGCTTTGCATATCCATTCTACATAACCATTTAATTCTTTTTCTAATTGTTGTTGTCTCCTAAGTTTTAAAAACGATTGTCTACTTTCGACTCTCTCTCTTTCTTTAGCAAATTCTCTGAAATCAAGATATAAATAAAATCAGATATACCGTATAACTGAAGAAAAATGTCAAGAATAAAAAATGTATAGAGTACAAGTAAATAAATTCTCCCAATGAAAGATGTTCTTGTGAATGTATTATATTGTACAAACTCTGAAATTACTTATTAAAACTCTAGTATGATTAGTATATAACGTTCTTACAGAATATTTGCATATAATACACACATATGTAAAGTGGATGTATAAAATGTAATGCAGTGTCACATTATATGTAAGCTAAACAAGTTAGAGCTTACGCTTTTAAATTAATTTCATTTAGTAAAAGGCAAGGTCCTCTTATACAAGGTAGAAAGTAGCGCGTGAAATGAAAACACATTAAGCGAACTCACCATACAATTCTTATAACAGTGATAATCCGAAAAAATAGCGTATAGGAGGAAAAACTGTCCATAATTAATGAATGGCGTAAAAACGAAAATGCGTTGAATGAAAGCGAATTAACCGAAAACTATCTGTATATTTCATATTTAATTGCTATCTTCTAAATTAATAGTGTGTACTTTCAAGTTTACTTTTATTTTCGTAGTAATAATGATAATAGAATATTTTACGCTTATTGGATTCTATATCCAATAAGCGTAAAATATTCTTTTCACGAAAAAATCGATATTGACATTTCGATTAGATAGTATCTATATATTTTGAAATTGTTTCGAAAATGATTACTTTAAAAATAAAAATCAAACACGCTTCATATTTGTATGGCAGAAAATTGATTTTTAGAATCATTTTTAGAATTATTTACTTTTCATAACAGAAATATTAACAATTTTATTGTTGATGTATTTATTAATGTGATAGATATGTTGTTAGGTCGCATCGTAATGACAGTGGATCGCGTTATGTTTCTCGGATCATTTTTCCCATTTATAGCGTTTCGTCAATTACGTTTTGTAAATTGTAATATATAACTTTTAATGAAAAACTCGTAAGAACTCCACGACAATTATATTAAATTTTAAAGAAAATACATAGTTTCAAGTTACAGTATTAATTTTTATACTGGGCAGTGAAAAGCTTTATTTATAATTTTTATTAATTAATATTTTGTGTAGAATGTTGATAGATAATTTGTGTTTTATTGCATAATTTTAAGTTGATGAAATGTTTTGACGTCAATAACAAAAAAAAAAGTTAAACGTTATTTTATGTTAGGATTTTTAACTTTTCTCAATCAGAAATTGTTCCTCGCCGTCTGTTCGGAACAAAAATGAAATTAATTTCGTTAACAAATTAAATCGCTGATTTAAAACATTTCTGTTGATATTTATCATATATTAATAAATCGTTAAATTTTTATTAAATAAAAATAGAAATATTTGCATATGTTGCAAAATATAAAAAAAAATTATTTATATTATTCGGTAATATAAATGTAATATTCGGTTTTTATCGGTACAAGTGCTTAATGCTGGAAGAAGTACACAGCACACTAAAATCAACCGTTTTATTATATTTATGTACTGTTAATGTGTATCCATATTTAAAAAGCTCCTGATTATCAAGTATTTAATATTTCTCCTTTCTGTAGTCTAATGCAAATGTTATGGCCAATCTTTAATGTTTCGTGTGGTATTCTATCTGTTGTAAGAGAATATTATAAATATAAATACTCTATCCATTTTCCACAGACGCGTCATTCTTGGGTAAGTTTTGTGTCTTTATTGATTTTCTAGTATCTTTTATATATTATAAATACATAAAATAGACCTATGAAATATGTGATTTTATTTTTCAATAAATATAATATCAGATCTCTCGTGATAGATGGTTTTATTTGTGATAGTACGTTTTCTAATACTGTCTTTGTATAATAATATGTTTGTATGCAAGCTTTTTGAGGTATTCATGTTGTGTTACTAAATATTTTTATTGTTACTGTACTAATATTATCGGAGCAAAACAAATAATAAGGAATAACTATCCAATTCAAAAATTTACTTATTTGTTGCGTCATATCTTAAAATAAATCATCTATTAAATGAAATATACTAAAATGTCTGTTTTTTAGTTATAATTTGATATCTAAATATCAAGATACCCAAAATAAGTTATCTAAATCAATTGGTTGTGTCTCGAAATTGATTAATGCCTGTTTGTAGCCTATTACAAAAGTTATATCTTCCATATAAGTTATCTATTTATATAACTATGTATATATATCACATTTACCTATTTTCTATACCAATTAGAATTAGAATACTAATTATTATAAAAACTAATTAATAAAGGCATTGTGCAACAGTATAAAATCCTAGCTTAAATTTTTTTATATTTAATTATAGCGGAAGGTAGTGCAAGATGGGGTCATGGGGTAAGACGGGGACGTCTGTTTATTTGTGTTTAATGTGCTTTTATCTAGCTGTTATTTGGGGAACTAAATGTCTATCTCGAAAGGGATCATGGAGCGAGAGAATGTCCAAATCTTTGTTTAGAAGTAATACACGTTTTTCATGTTTCCGCAATACTTTATTTAATTTTACACATGCTAAAAAGTTTTTACAAAGTAAGTATCATTGTGAACTTTTACATTACTTTTTAGATGAAGATATTATGGTATTCGAAGTAAACTTTATGACTGTAATTGTTTAGTTTTGAAATGAAGTTTACCTGTGTTTACAGTCAGTATGAAAAGTGTACGTTGGGGGGCAAGATGGGGTACCCGTCTAGCCCCAGGTTGACCATGAATATGGCCTATGAAAACAGAAGTATTTTCGAAAACAGACTTTATTGCTGCAGAGACGACAATCAGGCCCCTTCAGCAAGGATAGGCTTAACAAGAAACAAAAGACAAATGACACAGAATGCCTCTATTGTGGAGAGCTATACTCTGTGTCTACAGAGAGTTGGGCTAAATGTAGCCGTTGTAATAAATGGGCACACTGTTCTTGTGCCAATATTGAAGAAAACGACAGTTTAACCATTTTAATTTGACCTTCTTATATATAAAAATAATATCCCATCTTATCCCACGGGTGGAGCAAGATGGTGCATTTACATATACTTTTAAAATATTAAATTTGTTTTTAAAAACGTTTTTTAAAAATTAAATTTTGTATTATATATTACCAAATGTTGTAGTTGCTGAGAATAAAAAATTTATTGTTCTCAAGTGGTTGTCATCTTATGACTTTTCAAACCTTAACGTTCTCATCTTGCCCCACCTTCCCCTATACCTTTTTAATATTTAAAAAATAAATCATTGTCGATAATTATAATTTGTAATTACACATCTATATACCTTTTACTGTTATAAAAAAGTTTTAGATAAATTAAAGGGTAAGATAATATCAAATAAAAGCACTTAATGAACGTATTTTCATCCATCTTCATTGAATATTTATATTATTTCTGGTTTATAAAAATAGTTAGGAAATTTTTACGTAAATAGTCAGTATGATAATATTTGTGAAAATTTCGTTAAAGTAGGCAAAATGGCTTACAGAAAATAAAGTGATAAGATATAAAAAAATAGGCGACAAACTGTATATATATATATATACACATTCAGTTTTTTATCTATATAATACATACATAATTTCATCTCTCGTTATCGATTCGAACACGATTCCCTCATAAAAATGAAGCAAACTGTTTAAATATTCAACGATAAATCATTTGGATAAAACGCATCTTAGTTGAATATTTGGAAAAGCGTGACGATAATGAAATCATAACGTTAATGAAACACGAAAATTATCATATAATTAATTGTATAATTAAATACCGTCAATTAGTAAAGCACTTAATCTTAAGTATTATTAAATTACTCGTATAGCTACAGAGAGGCAAGCAGTCCGATGAATAATAGAATTAACACAACTATGATGCAATATGAATATCGGAAAGATAGGGAGAACTTTGAAAAGAATATTACAAAATTGTTTTCCCACTTTATTAACTAACTCATCGAAGATTTGATTTGCCGGATTTGAAATACGTCTGAAAATTTTTAGTAGTAAAGAGCAAAGAAAGCTTAACGTGCAAGACGTTGTATTAATAATCTTCAAAACACGTTGCTTGTAAAATACATAGAACTTCTTCGCGAAAAGTTTACGCCTAATATGTAATTCTCTTGTTACAGCAATATGAATCTGTAAATAGCCTATCTTTAAAAAATCTAGCTATTAAAAGCGAATTTCAAATTTAGAGAAAACAATGAGATGAGTCCATAAAAACAAAAAAAAAAAAAAAAATCATTACCGTGCTTCACAATGACTCATTTAAATAATAATGTCAATATTGATATTTAAATAAATGAATTTAAAAGAAAAAAATCTTTAGATTCAGCAATAACTTTTTAGGAAGGAACATTTTAAATCATTCTAAATAATTTGGATTCGGCAATTTTTTTTTCGTAAAAATTTGTTTTACAGATTAATTGCAACCCGTTGTTTATCCATGATGATAATAACAATAAACAACAATCAGGTAATTTTGAAATGCTGACAATAAAACGATGTTCGTAGCCGAAGTTTGATTTCTAATTAACTAAAGATTGATACCGAATACTTCCATGTTGGTTGTGTGATTGCTCTATTAGCGTCGTATTTAAAACTTTTCACATACTTCAGATATAGATTTACTAGTCATAGATATTGTTTAGAAAGAGAATGAAAATATTCCACAAGTTTAAAAGTTTTACCTACAGATATTAATGCAAAATGTTACTTCTAAATTCGATTAATATTTTTCCGATTTATAGTTCTATATAACATTCAGCTATCATTAAAATATACTGATTCATACTCTCAATGTATCAACGATGTTTTTACTCTCAAATCCTAATTGCTATCCAAGAAGAGAGGAGAAGGAATACGCTTGATCAAAATTAATATAGTTTATGCAACGACGAAAGAAAATTACGTTCTTACAAACTGAAGTAATTTATACAAAATATAATTATATATATAATTATATTTTGTATAAATTACTTGAGTTTGTATATATATATAATCATCATCATCATCACCATCAACCGTTATCAATCCACTGCAGGATGAAGGTCTCCCCAAGCCTCTTCCACAATCTTTTGTTTTGAGCACTTCGCTTCCATGTTGTGCCAAGATGCCTCTTGATCTCATCAACCTACCGAGTGTGTGGACGTCTTCTTGGTAGTTTCCGATCTCTTGGTATCCAATCAAGAACTTCATATGTCCAGCGATGGTCAGTTCTTCTTGCAATATGTCCAGCCCACTGCCAGTTGGGGGATTTCATTCTAGTGATGATATCGGTAACTCCTATCATTTTCCTGATCCATGTTATACGTTTCTGATCTCTCCTTGTTATGCCAAGCATACACCTTTCCATGTTCCTTTGGATAGTCTGTAGTCTTTGGATCTCTGATTTTCTAAGAGTCCAAGTTTCTGATCCATAAGTGAGAACTGGCAAGACACACTGATCAAAAACCTTGCGTTTCAGGCACGGGCATCTGTTGATTTTTCAAGACTATACTATTCCTACCAAAAGCACTTCAGCCAAGTTTTACACGTCTGTTTATTTCCTCCTTGATATTGCCATCCATTGATATTCTTTGTCCCAGGTAAATATAAGCATCTACCTTTTCCAATTCTAGTTATCTATTAGTAGTGTTTCTTCACATACGAAACTGTTGTACATAATTTTCGTCTTGTTCAAGTTCATCTTTAAACCAACTTCTTTACTTTTGTTTTCAAGTTCTTGAATCGTGTCCTGGAGCTCTGAAGGGCTATCTGTAATGATGGCTACGTCGTCAGCAAATCGAAGATGGGTCAGGTGGTCTCCATTTATCAGTACACCTTTATTCTCCCAGTTCATTGATTGAAAAACACTTTCTAATGCATTTGTAAAAAGTTTTGGGGATATAGTATCACCTTGTCTCACTTCCTTTTCAATTTTAATATCGTTGGTATCTTGAAGCAAGCAAACTTTTGCAGTTGCCCCTTCATAAATGTTTTCAAGAATTTTGATATACGTAGCTTCAATACCACATGCCTTTAGAGATTTGGTGATTGCTGATGTAGTTATAGAATCAAAAGCCTTTTCATAGTCAACAAATGCAATGCATAGTGTGATTTTGTATTCGTTCGACCTTTCAGTGAGCTCTCTCACAACCTGAATGTGATTAAGTGTGCTGTATCCACTCCTAAATTCAGCTTGTTCTCTTGGTTGGGCAAGATCCAGTTGTTTTTGTAGGCGATTTGTCAGTACCTTAGTGAAATTTTATAAATCACCGGGAGATATATATATATATATATTTTAGGCTTGTAGAATAGCCTATAAGTATATTAAAAACTAAGAATATGTAAACATTTTCATATATTTTTGCTGGTACGTGTGTCGCCAAAGTTGCCAAAGTAACTTAAATTAAAACATTTTCAAACAAATTTATAAATTGTAAGAAAGATCGGCTTCTACAATGTTTCCAATAAAGATCAAGAAAATCATAATATGCAAATTTGTCATAATATTAAAATAAATTTTATAATGTTTGTGAAAATTTAATAATTTATTTCATAATAATAATATTTCACGAATAATATTTACTATAATGCAGTGTTTTTCAACCTGTAGGTCGCGACCCCCGTGTATGGCTTTGCGACCCACAGGTGGGTCGCAAAGCCATACACGGGGGGTCGCGGGTAAAAGAAAAAGACAAGTGTTTGTAGGTCCTACACTACAATAAAAAA